TTTTTCCTCTGGCTCCTTTTAAGATATTTTTATCTTTTGACTTTCTGCAGTTTTAATATGATATATATAGTTTTTTGTTGTGTTCTGGGGCATTTGGGGGGGGGTATTTACCCTGCTTGGTACTCTCTGAGCTTCCTGAATCTGTGGCTTGGTATCTGACATTAATTTGGGGCAAATTCTCAATCATATTGTTTCAAATATTTATTTTCTTTCTTTCTTCTCCCTCCTATATTCCCCTTATGTGTTGTTACACTTTTGTAGTTGTCCTACCATTCTTGGATATTCTGTTCTATCTTTTTCAGTCTTTTTTCTTTTCCTTTCAGTTTTGAGAGTTTCTAGCTGCAATATCTCAAAGCAGGTTCTGCTAGCGAATATCTCACAGGGTCCCCACCAGCCCTTGGAGACTGTATGATCCATAATCTGCACATGGATGGAAACTCTGCCCTTCCAAGCCATGGAAGAGATCCAGCACCATGTAAGAAGCGTAACTTTTATAAAAAAAACTTTAATCTATTTTTTAACTTTTAATTTTGCAATAATTATAATCCTACTAGAAGTTTAAAAATAATACAGTCTCTTCCCCCAACTTTACCCATCTATTAATTATTTTTAAAAGGGAAATAAGTCAAGTTCTTTCATGTGTGTATGTCGGAGGCAAATAGCGGCCTTGGGCCTGCCCTGGTCCACTTCTATCCCACGGTCCAGTCAGTGGGCTCCAGTCCTCCAGTCCCGACCGCGGAGGCCCGGTCTCCTCAGTGCTCCTAGTTGTCCTGACAGCCCGTTCACCCCACCTCCGTCGTGTGGCTCCCGCGGGCCCCGGCCCGGGTCCACCTGGCCGGTCTGGCTGGCCAACCCTCCCCGGCCCCATCCACTTCCTTCACAGAGGGCACCAAGGGCTCAGCCCGCCGTACTGGCCGGACATGGCCAGGCCCTGTCCCTGACACAGCCTCAACGCCCCCGCCGGCCCGCCCCGCTCTTCCAGCCCCGGCCCCACCCCACCGGCCCCTCCCCAAAGAACAAAACTATCAAAGGGTCAGTCTGCCTATTCAGCTGTTTTTTATCTCTTCCTGCCAGGAGTACATTTTTTCAATGCAAAAGCCCCTGGACCAAGGAAAGAATGAACTGCCTGTTACTAAATCTTCTGAGGCCTGGAATGTGTGGCACCCAGGGAGCAGGGAGAGGAGTGATTTTCGTTTCACTCTGCGTTAGGGACCAGTGAGCTCCTCTAGGAAAGGAACTTCAGCTGCATTTGCCTTTTTATCCCCATGCCTAGAAAAGTGCCCAGCAGAGAGTGTGAGCTTACAGACATGAATAAATGCTTCCAAATGCACCCAAATTTGTAGAGACTAAGTATGCGTTGCTCTAAATTACAGTTTTGTTCTTGTGGCATTCAGTGTTTCTGAGTCATTGTGCTCAGTGGAGCAGAATCAGTACTGGGCTCTATCTGCTCTACGCCACTACCTTGTGCCTCTCTAAGCTTCAGTTTCTTATCATGGAAAATAAGATAGGACAGGTAGGGATAATTAGTAATTAAAAAAAGGCAACAAGTATTTGGATAAAGGGAAGGGCACTCAAGATGAGTAAAATCTCTCACTATTGGGTAATGTTCATTTTGCCTTGATGTTAGCAAATAAATGTATAATGGATGCAAATTCCTGTATTTTACACCAAAATACAAAAATGTTTTATAGATTATTTGTACTGTCTTATGCTTGGCTAAACAACAGCATTCTGGCTTAGAAAATCAGATATGCACTTTGGCATAAGAGTTATGTATCCCACCCGACTCCTCTGCCACAACAGCTTCTTGCTCTGTTGCCTGGGCTAGAGTGCAGTGCATCATCATCACTCACTGTAACCTCAAACTCCTGGGCTCAAACAATCTTCCTGCCTCAGCCTCCCAAATAGCTGGGAATAGATGCCCACCAACACACTCCACTAATTTTTGTATGTCGAGATGGGTATCGCTATGTTGCTCAGGCTGGTCTCAAACTCCTGGCCTCAAAAATCCTCCACCTCAGCATCGCAAAGTGCAAGGATTACAGGTGTGAGCACTGCACATGGCCTGGCATAAGATTTAATTGGGGAATATTAAATACTTGAGTGCATACAGCGCAACTTGCCTCAAAATCATAAGTACTTTATGAAACTAATTTGGTTTATTTCTCTTCTGCATAGGTCCGTGAAGAAATTTTCGAATGACCAGTGAAGATACAAATAGCAATGTTTATGGGTGGGCTTTGCACAAACATTAATCTTTATTTCAGTGAGTTTTCCCAAAGTGAAGTACCTTAAAGACTTCTTTATAGCTAGAGTTGTTTAAAAAAATTATCAATAGAAGACAATAATTGAGCATGATGCTATAATCGTCAAATACCTGCATCCAGGTGATTACTTGTTATGATCTCAATTATCGAGAGGTAGATATTGATGAAAGTGATTGATAATGCATTTGTACTCACATATAATACAATTAACCTCATAACCTGAAAGAACAAAATTGTGTACTTCAACTGAATATCTATATCTGCCTTCATGCACTTTTCTTTCTCATCTCTCCTATTTCATGCCCTATCTCAGCTATTTATATTAATAAGATATTTTATTGGTATCAGTTTTATGTCTTTCGGTATTGTATATGCACCAAGAAAGCGAGTAGAGTGGTTTTCAATGTAGCCAGATAGGAGATCAGCCCTATTGATGCTCCACTAAGGCATTAGCTCCTCAATGTGCTCTAGGGTCAAAGAAGATCCTTGTGCTCAGGACCTCCCGCAAATAGCTGGAGAAACCATACGGCTAGGCATGTGCTCACCATCACATGCCTGTGATAAGTTAAGTGAAATCTTTCCGCTTGAATACCAGAATGAGTAAAGAAGTATGTTAGCTAGGCCTAATATATAAATTCTCTCTTGTATTTATAGTCAGATGGGCCTCGCTCTTGTTCAGCTGTTCGAACTCCTGACCTCGAGCAATCCGCCCACCTGGGCCTCCCAGAGTGCTAGGATTACAGGTGTGGAGCCACCTGGCCTGCTTATTTCTTATTTTAAATTTGTTAGATCAGCACTGTTCAAGAGAAATAAAATGTGAGCTACATATGTATTTTGTTTTCTGGTCCCCATGTTAAATAGCATTTTTAAGGGTATAAATAACCCTAGTGACATTATATGTAACCCAATATCAAAAATATGATCAGTCTAACACATGTAATCAATATAAAATTATTAAGATATTTACATTATTTTTTCCATACAACGTCTTGGAAACCCCAGTTGTATTTTACACTCAGCACATCTCAATTTGAACCAGCCACATTTCAAGGGCTCAATGGTCACGTGAGGCTCACACCTACAATACTGCACAGAGCAAGTATACCTTTTCCCTACTGCATTCCACTCAGAAAGTCTCTCTGAATCTCTCCTTTTCTGTTTCTCTGAAAGACAGTAACTTTCTCTACATAAGTAAATGGTTCAGAAGCTTCTCTGAACCAAACTATCTCCCACTTTTGTAGTTGTCCTACCATTCTTGGATATTCTGTTCTATCTTTTTTCAGTCTTTTTTCTCTTTTCCTTTCAGTTTTGGAAGTTTCTACTGACATATCCTCAAACGCAGAGATTCTTGCCTCAGCTGTGTTCAGTTAACAAGCTCATCTCATTAGCAGAAATGAGGGCATTCTTCGTCTCTGTTACAGGTTTTTTTTTTTCTTGCATTTCTTTTTTTATTCTTAGAAATTCCATCTCTCTGCTTACATTACCCATTTTTTCTTGCATGTTGTCTTTTTCTCCCCATTATAGCCCTTAGCATACTATCATGTTAATAGTTGTTAAAAATTTCCTGATCTAATAATTCCAACATCACTGCCATACCTGAATATAGTTCCGATTCTTGCTCTTCCTTTTCAAATTGGTTTTTTTTTCTTTGCCTTTAAGTATGACTTACAATTTTCTTTGTTGAAAGTCAGACATTATGTGCTAAGTAAAAGGTACTTGGTACTGATTCCCATAGAGGTTTCTGCTTGTGGGTTTATGCTCTGGTAAGTTGTGATTCTTTGTATCCGTCTGTTATCTTGAATTTCAGGTGCAGCAGTTTGTCTTACCATCTCTATTCTCTGGTATACCTAAGAAGGACTGTTGATTTTCAGTTTGTTCAGCATTTTCACTTGTTGTTAGGATGGTGTGACAACTTTCAAACTCCTTACAAGTCAAACCAGAAGTCCTATACTTGTTTTTAAAATCCCAAAAAATATAGAACATCCTAAGCAGAAAGTCAAAGTTCCTGCAAAAATATAACCACTATCAACAGCTTGTAAGTATTCTTTGGAATCTTTTTATAAGCATATAGAAACATATATATGCAGGTATACTTTTATAAACTATACTTTTTATAAAAATAGCATCCAATACAGATTGCTCTACCATAGAATATCATGGACATCATTAGAAGAGATATAGGTCTAATACTCTCTTTTACTGCTATATAACTTTTCTTGATTTAGCTTTATTTAATTTTATTTGGTCAATCTCCTACTGAAAGGTATTAAGGTTATTTCAAATATGCAATTTTCTCCTACAAATAACATCACACTGAATATCCTTTTACATATAACTCTGCCTACTTGTGCATGACCATAGAATAAGTTTCTGTAGGTAGAATTGCTGGGTTAGTGATTATATACATTTTAATTTTTAATACCTATTACCAAACTGTTCACCCAAATGGCTGTTCAATTTACATTTCCACCAACAGTATTGGGAGAGTGTTTATTTCTCCACATTATCCCTGGGTAGTTTTAAATCTTTGCTAATCTGACAATGAACAGTGTTTATCTTATTACAGTTTGAATTTTTTTATTACTAGGAAAGATTAATATTTTTCATGTTTATTAGCCATTTGATTTCTTTAGAAACTGTATAATTGTTTACTAAATTATATAGGGGAAATTTATTTTTAGGAATGAAAAGTGGAGAATAATAAACCTAAACTATGGAAATCCTCAATCCTAGGTATTATTGTCAAAGTTATATGGCCCACAAGGAACATTCTATTTTACTTCACATTCACCTGGTGAACACTTCATTTGCTTAGAATCTAATTCTACAAGGCTTGTGTCATTTGGAGGGAGTAAGCTGGTGAGTATGTGCTTCCCGAGCCCTTGTTGATGAACACAGCATCAGCACTATTCAAGCATGACATTGGTATGCAGAACCATTACACTCAGATTAGCTAGAAACTTATTAAAGTCCTGTCCCCAGATCTCTGTGCAGCAACCAGAGAGGGAGCTGGAGAGCTTGGAAGGGGTTCAAAGGACAGCCATGAAGTTGATTAAAGGGTTTGAAAAATAAGAGCTGTGAGGGAAGGTTATAAGAATTGTGATTATTCAGGCTTGAAAACAAGTGAAGGCCGAAGGGTGAGTTAATAATGGAATTCTAATAAATAAAATTTCTACATGGCAGATGGCGATTGGCTATTATCTAAAGTGTTGAGAATATATGAAGAGAATTGGTACATCAGCAGAAGAAAGTTTTATATAAAGAAAATTTTCCTGAGACCATTAATCAAATTTTCTCAGCACCAAAGGCATTTATGTAGTAGTAAATTTGATGTTCAGAAACATATAAATATAATTTCAGGTCAGTATGTTATCATTTAATGCATTACTATTACAAGAAAGACTACTGAATAGAATGAAGAATAGAATTGCAGTGAGAGAAAAAAGAGAGATAAAGAATGAGTAGTGCCCCACTCATAGAAAGGAGGGAGAGAAAGGAGGAGGAAAGGAATGGGAGGGCACAACAGAGTGAGAAAGTAAAAGAAAAAAGTGGAGCTGTTTTTAAAACGTGCTGTTTCTTCCTCTTTTACTGTTTTTTACAGCGGATCCATTTAGATATTCGAGTTGGAGAACATGACCTTGATATAGCTATTGCTCAAGCAAAGGACAAAGTTAATGAAGTTACCTTCAAGCTTGAACATCTAATTGAACAAATTGAGCAAATAGTCAAAGAACAAAACTATCAAAGGGTCAGTCTGCCTATTCAGCTTATTTTTATCTCTTCCTGCCAGGAGTACATTTTTCAATGCAAAGCCCCTGGACCAAGGAAAGAATGAACTGCCTGTTACTCAATCTTTCTGAGCTGGAACTGTGTGGACACCCAGGGAGCAGGGAGAGAGTGATTTTTCTTCACTCTGCTAGACCATGAGCTCCTCTAGGAAAGGGAACTTCAGCTCATTTGCCTTTTTATCCCCCATGCCTAGAAAAGTGCCCAGCAGCAGAGTGTGAGCTTACAGAATGAATAAATGCTTCCAAATGCACCCCAAATATTTGTAGAGACTCAAGTATGCTTGCTTTCTAAATTACAGTTTTGTTCTTGTGGCATTATGTGTTTTCTGAGTCATTGTGCTCAGTGGATGCAGATCAGACATGGGCTCTAATCTGCTCTACCACTACCTTGTGCCATCTCTAAGCTTCAGTTTCCTTATATGGAAAATAAGATAAGGACAGGTAGGATAATTAGATAAGGCAACAAGTATTTGGCATAAAGGAAGGACTCAAATGAGTAAATCTCTCACTATTGGGTAATGTTCACTTTGCCTGTTGGTAGCAAATAAAATGTATAATGGATCAAATTCCTGGTATTTTACACCAAAATACAAAAATGTTTTTATAAGATTTATTTGTACTGTCTTATGCTTGGCTAAACAACAGATTCTGGCTTAGAAAATCAGATATTGCACTTTGGCATAAGAGTTATATATCCCCACCCGACTCCTCTGCCACAACAGCTTCTTGCTCTGTTGCCTGGGCTAGAGTGCAGTGGCATCATCATCAACTCACTGTAACCTCAAACTCCTGGGCTCAAACAATCTTCCTGCCTCAGCCTCCCAAATAGCTGGGACCATAGATGCCCACCAACACACTCCACTAATTTTTCTATTTTTTGTCGAGATGGGGTATCGCTATGTTGCTCAGGCTGGTCTCAAACTCCTGGCCTCAAGAAATCCTCCCACCTCAGCATCGCAAAGTGCTAGGATTACAGGTGTGAGGCACTGCCCATGGCCTGGCATAAGATATTAATTGGGGAATATTAAATACTTTGAGTGCATACAGCAACCTTCCCCTCAAAATCATAAGTACTTTATGAAACTAAATTTGTTTATTTCTCTTCTGCATAGGTCCGTGAAGAAAATTTTCGAATGACCAGTGAAGATACAAATAGCAATGTTTTATGGTGGGCTTTTGCACAAACATTAATCTTTATTTCAGTTGGAGTTTTCCAAATGAAGTACCTTAAAGACTTCTTTATAGCTAAGAAGCTTGTTTAAAAAATTATCAATAAAGACAAATAATTAGCATGATATAAATCAAAATACCTGCATCAGTGTGTATTACTTTTATGATCTCAAAGTTATCAGAGGTTGAAATTAATGTTATAGCATTGTAACATTAATAAAATGTTACCTGAACAATGTATCTTCTGAATTTGATAGCATAAGCATATCATCTTATTCTTATTTTATTTATTTATTTATTTTTGAGACAGAGTCTCGCTTTGTTGCCCAGGGTAGAGTGAGTGCCATGGCGTCAGCCTAGCTCACAGCAACCTCAAACTCCTGGGCTCAAGTGATCCTTTTGCCTCAGCCTCCCAAGTAGCCGGGACTACATGCATGTGCCACCATGCCTGGCTAATTTTTTCTATATATATTAGTTGGCCAATTAATTTCTTTTATTTTAGTAGAGACGGGCCTCGCTCTTGTTCAGGCTGGTTTCGAACTCCTGACCTCGAGCAATCCGCCCACCTGGGCCTCCCAGAGTGCTAGAGATTACAGGTGTGAGTCACCTGGCCTGGCCTTATTCTTATTTTAAATTTGGTATAGATCAGCACTGTTCAAGAGAAATAAAATGTGAGCTACATATGTAATTTTGTTTTCTGGTCCCCATGTTAAAAAGCATTTTTTAAGGTTAAAATTAACCCTAGTGACATATATGTAACCCAATATATCAAAAATATGATCAGTCTAACACATGTAATCAATATAAAATTATTAAGATATTTTACATTATTTTTTCCATACAACGTCTTGGAAACCCCAGTTGTATTTTTTTTTTTTTTTTTTTTGTTTTTTTTGACGACAGCAGTCTTGCTTTTGTTGCCGAAGGCTAGAGGAGTGCCGTTGGCATCAGCCTAGGCTCACAGCAACCTCAAGACTCCTGGGCTCACAGCGACTTCGTCTCAGCCTCGGCCGAGTTAGCTGGGGACTACAGGCATGTGCCCCGATCCGGGCGGCTTAATTTTTATGTATATATATATATCAGTTGGGCAATTAGTGTTCTTTCTATATTATACTAGAGACGGGGTC